TGGCCTTCTTTGGGATCTGATTTGTAATTGGAGTCGCTGGCAGGTTTGAAGCCGGGGCAGGATCTGATTATACGTTGTTCCAAAGCTCACTCTAGCTTCGGGGTTTGGGGGGAACAGGAGTGGGGGCAGGGAGGACAGAAAAGTGAGAGAGGATGGAGGGGAAACTGGAAGATGCTTGGCACTGACTCCAGGCACCTTAAACCCAAACCAAACTCACTGTCGCCCCATCGGTGCCGTAGGACAGGGTAGAACTACCCCTGAGGGTTCCTGAAGCTGTAACTCTTACGGGAGTAAAAAGCCTGTCTTTCTCTTGAGAAGCGACTAGGAGTTTTGAACGGCTAGCCTTGTGGTTAGCAGCCTGACACGAACCTATGCCTCCAAGCCTCCTCCAGGCACCTAAGTGCTGGTGAGGTCCCACTTCACCGAGGGGCAGCACAGGCCGGAGGGCAGGGAGTCCAGGGCGTACACCATAGTCCTTCAGGTCCAGCCCAGCTGAATCAGTCCGGCTGGTGCCAGGCTGGGCACTCACTCTGTAGTTGGCCCTCAGCCCAGGGGTCTTGGGGAGGAGGGGTGCTTTGTGAGTACCCCAAGTGCCATCTGCTCAGTGCCGTCAGAACTCCGTCTTCCTCCCTGGAGACTCGGGGCTGGACAGGAGGGAGAAGTTCCTACTCAGGTGCCTGGTTAGAGAGGATGGGACGGGGCACAAGATGCCGCCGCATCAGAGGGGTCTGGGGCCCAGGGCTCCTCAGGACTCCTGGGCAATCCCAGCTCACTGCACACAGGGTCCCCGGCCAGTCCCGGGCAGCCTGGCCCAGAAGGGCTTCCGTGGCCGCAAGCCCCCTCCTGCTCCAGCCTCCCGGTCCTCTCCCAGGTGTCCCTGTGTGGTCCGAGGTCGGAAAGCCCCTCCACCCACATTCAAACGCCAGGCCCTGTGCTCTCTGGAAAGTGACATAGGTGGATCTGAACCGAGACATGGCCTCCTCGTGGCCACCCTGAGCCTGGGAGGGATGCTGTGCACACCACCTCTCTCTCCTCTACCACTGGGAGGATGTGGCTTTGCGGGGGAGATCTCTGTTTTATGAAGAGCCTGGGGAGGTGTTTCTGGCTGAGGAAGGTACAAGGGCCCCAGGCAGCGGCTGAGAGTTACAAGATGACTCTGGTCTTGGTGGCACTGTTGTTGATTCCCCGAGTGGCGGAGAAGAACTGGCCCCTGGGGGTTCTCGCATCTGGTCTTTGGGCTGTCAGGCCTCTCTTCCACCAGTCTTTAAGTTGGCAGCTGTGCCACCAGGATGCTTATGACCATGACCCAAAGAAGCCTCAAGCTGCCTGCACTGAGTCCATTCAGACTCCTGGCAACCCTGCAAGACACACTGTAACTCTGGACAGGAGGAGCAGAGAACCTCGTTGTTGTCCCACAGAGAGACCGGTGGTTTTGAACTGCTGGCCTTGCAGTTCGCAGCCCATCGCTGTAACCACGACACTATCAGGGCTCCTTTTGTGGTCCTGACAGAAGGAGCAAAGCCATGGCAAAGGGTGGTCAAGGATGTCTCTTTGAGACCCCAAGGCTGTGAATGGGCTGGGAGCGGGCTGTCTAGCTGAGCGGTGTGCAAAGGCCCCGAGGCAGGTAATGCTTGGATGATGAGGTGGACAAAAGACTGGGACGGCTGGAGTCCCCGAGGAACATTCCAGGTGAGGAGATCAGACAGGAAGCGTCTGGTCCCCGAGGACCTTGTAAACAGGTAGGCAGTTGGGATTTCACTTTAGGTGCCACGCATAGCCATGGAGGGCTTTCTAAGGGTGGGCCGAACCTCATTCACTTACCCCCACCCCCACCCCCAAAAGTATAGTGAAATACACATGACATTTACCGTTGGGACCGTTTTAAAGTGTACGATTCCGTGGCATCTAGTACTTGCACCATCATGTGCAACCATGATCTTTGTGGTCCCAAAAGGACACTCCACAGCCAGTCGGCAGTCCCTCCCCGTGCCCCAGGCCCTGGCGGACACTAATCGGCGTCCTCCTGCGGGGTTTGGCCGAATCTGGGTCATTTCCTGTAGGAGGCATAGGATTCCTTTGTAGAACTCACTCGGGCTGGTGCAGAGGGCGCGTTGCGGGCAGAATAACAGAGGAGGTGTGAAAAAAGACTACAGGGCGGGGTGCGGTTGGGGGGTGGGATTAATGGCCAGCCCACTCCTGACCCCGGCTCCCTTCACCCAGGGCTGCGCTGCTACGCCAAATTCCACCGGAACCGCAGGGTCACTCGGAGGAAGGGGCGCTGCGTGGAGCCCGAGACAGCCAGCGGCGACCAGGGGTCCTTCATCAACGTCTAGCCGTCCGTCCGCGGGGCGCCTCCCCACCAGCCTGGGGACCTGGGCGCGGGAGGTTTGGAGACCTGGGCGATGCGTTTTAACTCAAAGAGAGACGAGGAGGGACCAGGACCTCCATGTTTGGGAGTGGAGCGCTGGTGCAGAGGGCTCCGGGTGGACAAGAGGGCCCTTGCCCCGCATCGCAGCACACTGGCACCCACCTGCCGCCAGCCCTGGGATGCTCGCGGGCCTGCGCCCCCCGGAGTTCAGGTAATGTCGCGAGTGCCCTCTGCTGTCCTGCCGCAGCCCTGCAGCACTCGCGTGAAAAGAATCCGGAGACTTTTGAGCCCGGAAAAAATGTGGAAACTCCTAAGAGAAAGGGCTGCTCTAGGGCTCTTTGGCAGGGACGTGGACCATCTTTGTGCCAGGCCCCGGGCGAAGTGCGTGGGATGTATGTGTCATCTCATTTGATCTTCACGATGACGCCCGTTTGAAGTAGGCATCATCATTTTTACAGGTGAGGAAAGGGAGGCACAGTGAATTGTATGACTTCTCCAGGGCCCCGGTCAATGCTCTTCAAACCATCAACGTGCATAACAACAGTTCTGCATTTCAAATAAGCACCCAGGAGAGGCTGGTTCTGCTGGTCCAGGGACCTGGCCAGTCCTACACAGTAAATGGCACAGCTGGGCTCTGGGGGTGGGCCCACACTCTTGCCCCTCCTCACTGAAGATTGATGCTGGGTTTCTGGCATTTTTGGTGGGGTGGAGGAGGCTGGGGAAGTTTCCCCTGGGGCTCCCTTTCACTGCAGCAGAAGCAGGGGCCCCCTGATGCTTGTGTTCCCTCCCTGGACACAGGGGCCACAGCTTAGAAACAAAGCAGAGTGCACCTTCAGCCCCTGCTTGCTTGTAAGGAGGGGTTTGGGCAGATTGGCTCCTGCCCTCTGGGAGGTGATTTTCTGAGACAGGAATGTTTGGGGACAAAACTATACTGTCCCTTACACCCCCTGGCCCTGTTCTCCCAGGACAGGGACAGACACTTCGAAATCACCTCGGTCGCTTCTACCCGCGGCGGTCATGCCTTCTGAGAACTGGATGTCAACGTAGACTAGAAAAATCCCACCTCCCACCCATGCACACCCCATGTGGCCTCAAAGGCCATGGCTTGGAACCCTCCCTCACTGCTGCAGCACCTCCTGGGGGCCGGCCGGAGCTTGGGGTGCTTGTCTTAAGGTGCCGAGGCTTCCTGAAGCCTCCCACCGATCAGGTCCGTGATACCCACCCCACACGCCCATCCCAGCAGCTGTGGCTCCTCCTGGGACACGTTGAGTAAGCCGTCTAAGTCCCCGCACTTGACAACATACCTCCAGCCAGCCTCTGACCCAGGGCAAATCAGGTTCCCCATAGTGAAAGCCTTTCCCTGTCCACATTCCATGCTGGCCTGGACAGCTGCCACTGGGCCATGCCCCTAGGGACACCAAGCCTGCTGACTGCATTGTGGCCGGGACCAGGCACCAACAAAAGCAAGCCAACCTGGGAGAAACAGACACCACACTCTTGTCTCTCAATTCCAGTGTGGTGGGTGTGGGAACCTTGGATGGGCACGATCAAAGCTAGTGAATTGGAAAGCAGATCCACCAGCCTATCGGCCAGTCTGAAGTCAGGCGACTTCAGGTGTGTGGACTCTCTGGCGGCGGCTGATTCCCTGGGCCAGCTTGTCCTCCTGGACTGCCTCTGTGAGGATGGGACTCTAGTGAGGTGGCTGCAGGCAGAGGACCCAGCCACGGAAGGGAAGCAGCCTGGACACCTCTGGCGCATTAGCAGTGGCAAACACAGAGGGCTCAGGCCAGCTGAAGGGCCAGACCCAACTGCCACTGCCTGCCCGGGGGACGCCCTGGTTGGAATTCAGGACTGGTTTCTTTGCCTCAGATCTCTTGAGTGGTGCAGAGGGTTTGCGCTTGGCTGGCAACCCAGAGGTTGGTTGTTCAAAACCACGCAGTGGTGCTGTGAAGGAAAGGCCTGCCATCTGCGTGCGCACAGTGACAGCGCTCTGCAGAGCACAGATCCACTCCCACACAGGTGGGGACACCCTGAGTCAGGGAAGACCCCTTGACGACAGGTTTGCGCCTCACCTGCCCCACTCTCCATGGCACCCGGGAGTACATGGCATCCTTCAGTCCCCTCAGGGTTAATCAGCGTCTCTGCCTGGGAATTCTCCCTTGTTGCTGCCACGAGGTGCCAGCCAGTCAGTTAGGTTTCCTCCAACCCAGGGGTCTGCAAGCCTTGCTGGCAAAGGACCAGCTGGTAACTAGTGTGAGCTGGGTCAGCTGCCCGGTGTGCTGCAGGCATCGGTGGCACGTAATGAATGGGCATGGCTGTGTTCTAATAAAACTCTATGTGCAGACCCCGGGGTGTTTGTTTCCTATAACCTTTACCTAGCACTGCTTCTTCTTTTGGTTTTAAAAAAACCAATCAAAATTACAAAAAGGTTTCTTAGCTCAAGGGCCGTACATAACGAGGGAGCTTGAGGCTATCCTTGGCTCCCCTGGGCCACAGTTTGCCACTCCTGCGCTGTCTGCCGGCTGCAGGCTACACATTAGAATGATCTGGGGAGCTTTTCAAAAGCGCTCTGCCCAGAGTGCACTGTCAGCAATTTTGCTTTAATTGGTCTGCTTTATAGTCTGAGCTTTGTTCCCCAAGCACCACCCTACCTGCCCAGGGAATTCATACGTGTAGTCAGGGCTAGAAGCACTCCTCTTAACGTCCCGTGGGTGGCAGGACCCATCTCAAGCCAAACTCACTGCCACTGAGTCAATGCTGACTCATGGCAACCCTGTTGGACAGGGCAGAACTGCCCCTGTGGATTTCCGAGACTGTCACTCTGTAAGGGAGCAGAAAGCCTCATCTTTCTCCCATGGAGCAGCTGGTGGTCTTGAACTGCTAACCTTGTGGTTACCAGCCCGATGCTCAACCACTATGCCACCAGGGCTCCTGGGTGGCAAGACAGGTGGTGATAAAATGGCCTGTACACTCTGTCACCATCTTGGTGACCCCAGAAACCTTCCTGAAGGTCTCAGTGCCTTGAGCTCTTAATCTTCAAGGGGTGCGGAGAGGGTCGTGAGGATTAAATGCAGGACCCTCGCCACATGTTTAGAGTAATGCCTGACACGGAAGTCCCCGCGATCAGCTGATCTGTTCTCCTAGGAGAATAAGCCAAACATCCCCAGAGATCCTTTCTCAGTCATTGTTCAGACTTCCCCCCACCCGCAAGCGTGCCCCACAGAACACTGGGAGGGCTAGAAAAGAGAAGATGGGGTTCCATGGTTAGAGAGGTTTGCGGAGCCGCTGGGCAGCATGTAGGGGCTCCAGCAGCTTTGTGGTTTAACAGGTCAACCGCCTGAAAAACAGCCACCAGAAGAGCGCTGAGCAGTGCGGCCAAGTAGAAACCAATAACTGCTGGACAGCTGCCCGCCCGTTCCTCCTGCCGGAGACAAGTCACCAGCCCCCACTCACCCACACGCACCTCCCCAGATACCTGTTGTTCCCACGGGGCTGACTTTCCGGGTGTGTCCACAAGGCCGAGAGGCTCCTGTGCCTGCTGGGAACAGGCTGAGGGTCAGATGACAGGGCACCAAGCCTCGTGGGAAAGTGACAGCTTCCCCGGCTCCTGGAGAGGTGACTGAACCAGTCAGGCCATGAGTCCTTCCGCAGTGGTGACTGGCAGCATGTGCCGGGTATGCCGCGGGCCATGGCTGACTCTAAGCCGGCCTCTACTAACATTCAGGAGGACGCAGGGGCTCTGTGCTGGGCAATCGCTTTGTCAGTGGGTGCTAGGAGGGAGGGGTGGAGCTCAGAGAGACAACCATTTAAGGCTGAGTTGCAGGTTTCTGCTGCAGAAAGACCTGGCGGTCTGCTCCTGTAGCAATTCGTCTCTGAAGATGACAGCCACCTACTTTGTCCCTTGGGGTCACAAGAGAAAAATCGACTCCCCGCACCTAAGGACAAAAGGGGTTTCAAGGGGCTGCAACAGGCACTGTCCCCTGAGAGATGAGCACCACCCTCTTGGGAAACAGGGAAGGGCGGGCGTGTAGGTAGGAGAGGTGGGTGGCAGGAATTGGCAGTAAGCCGACCCAGGGGCTAGTATTGGAGGGTGTCTTTTCTGAACCCCCAGTTAGGACAGGTGGTTTGATCTAGGTTCTGAAGTCACTTCTGAATGCAAGAGGCTTTCTGGCCTCAGCGAGTGGTCCACACCAGCAGTGTCAGCGTCTTCTGGGAGCTTGGGCCAGTCCCGCTGCCGACCGACTGAACCAACAGCATCTTCGGGGGTGGGACCCAGCAATCTTGGTCCTACCCAGAGTTCCAGGTGTCTCTTGTACACAACACAGTTGGGGGGCCTTGGTCTTGGAACCATATGAGGGCCGGGGGACAGGAATGCTGGGCAGGGTGGGGTGGCGACAGCCAGTGCTGAGTTGGC